ACGGGGGTGTGGCACCTGGGTACTGCTTCAGTGTTGGATTCCAGGATCTGAAAGGGTTTTTCCAACCTTAACAATTCCCTGATCCCATAATCCAGTGGCAGAAACACGTCCCAGTGACAGCACACACGTCCCAGCAGGGAGAACCACCCAGGCCCCCCAGTGTTTGACAAAACCAGCTACAAGCTCCATGGGAACACCTCATGACAAAAAGCGCCTCCAGATGACCAGGAGACTCAAGACACCAAATCAGCCCCTGCCAAAGTCACAGCACGTCCCACTCGGGATTACAGCTTCCACTGAGGACCAACATGTGGCAAATTGCCATTTTATGGGGTTTAAAAGTGGAAAACTCAATGCAGTTAAATTTTAAGACCATCAGGAGTAGAACAAACTGCTGAACCCACGAGGACCAGGCCCCAAAACGCCCTATTTAAACTCCTGATTTCCACTGGAGGAGCAAAGAAGGGAGACTGGAGCTCCATAAAGGCTGAAAACAAGAGAATTTAACCTGGTTCAATTATTCCTAAACCATGAAAGACTGACAAGCTTTTATTGCAAAGGGCTCTTATCTCTTAATGGAGAAAGCCTTTTCTGACTGAAGTTTTATTTGGTTTTTCAGATGTCAACATCACACAGAGAACACTGCTCTGGTCACTCAGCACCTTCTGCAGAGCAGGATTATCCCAGTGCCTGGGACAGCTCCAGCTGAATTCCCTGGGATGGTTCCACAGGGTGTCCTGCCCATGGGCTTTAAGCTGAAGGAGGGTTGTTTTAGATGGGATAGTGGGAAGGAATTGCTGGCTGGGAGGGTGGGCAGGCCCTGGCACAGGTTGGGCAGAGAAGCTGTGGCTGCCCCTGGATCCCTGGAAGTGTCCAAGGCCAGGCTGGAACAACCTGGGCTGGTGGAAGGTGTCCCTGCCCATGGCAGGGGGTGGCACTGGATGAGTTTTAATGTCCCTTCCAACCCAAACCAGTCTAGGATTCCACAATTTCTTAATTTGCACCAGAATTGCCAAACTAGTTGATACTGGAATTCCTTTCAAGGAATGTATCTGGGTAACTGTTTGTGAATTGAAAGTGGCCACTCCTCCGTGCTGATGAGAGAGCAGGGCACAGCAGGCTGCTCTGGGGGGGTTCACTCCTGCAAAGCTCTGGGCAGTGGTCACTTTTCTCACTCAGCCAAAAATACTCCTTTTCCAAAGCACTCCTGCAGCTTTTTCTGCCCAGCCCTGGAGTGAGGAATTCGAGGAAAGGGCTGTTCCTGTCCCAGCCTCACCCCAGGACTGATCCTCTCAGGATTCAGACCAGCCCAGCACACATGAACTTCTTCCAAACCCAGAGGGGGAGCAGGGGCTGGGACAGCTCATGGAGTCGTGGAATGGGTTGGGTTGGAAGGGACCTTAAAGCCCATCTTGTCACACCCCCTTCCTTCCCAACAGCAGACCAGGCTGGGTCTAGGACAGAACCTGCTGCACCAAAATCCTCTGATTTCATCTAAAAAAATTTACAAGAGAAGAGAAGGAAAGACAACCTTGGGAAGATACACCTGGAATTGTAAGGGCAGGAATGGAGCAGTTCAGGAGTTAAACATCTCCCTCATTTTCAGCTTTAATGCAGTCCTGACAATAAAGTCATGAACTACAAGGCAAGAGGATGAATTTCCACACTACAGGATTGTATCATGCTTTAATTAAACCAAGAGTGAGAGTGAAAAAAAAGCTTCAGATAAGGCAAGACAGACAATTAGGGAAGAGACCAATGCACAAGGAATAATTAATGGGATGTGTAAAATGAACTTGTGTCCAATCTGCAGGTGCTGCTCCCCTCAGCATGGGGGTAAAACAGGGAAGGATATAAAGGATATCAATCTCCCCAGCTGCAGCATAACAGAGCACTCTGCTCTTTTAAAGTAAAAAAATCCAGGAAAAAACTACAGCAGGACCAGGAGGGTGAAAAATAACACTGAAAGGAGCTTAAAAAAAAAAAAAAAAAAAAAAAAAGCTGAAATGAATTTTCATCTTTAAACTTGATTTTTTTTTATTGTATCTACTTATTAGAACAAGAACCTTACTCTTCACACTCATAAGTCTAAAAGTTTCCCTCAATATTCCTAAAAGGTTTTCCTGCTGCTTTCTAACCCAACACTTGTTTGAATGGATAAATGCTGGAAAGCACCAGATCCTGGAATGGTTTGGGTGGGTTGGAAAGGCCCTTAAAGCCCATTCCTGATCCACCCACAGCACCCCCCACCAGCCCAGCTTGCTCCAAGCCCCATTCCAAAATCAGGAAGGAACATCCCTGAAATCCAATAAAACTGAACATTGCTCGTTCCTACCAACTTTGAGGGACAGATTTTCCTTTTCCTTGGAGAACAGCAAAGATCTGACTTCACTTTAACCACAGAACTACTGACAACATTTCAAAACACCACACACACAGAAAAAAGACCTTTTTTTTTCCCCTCCCTTGCCGAACTTTTAGTGAAGCTGTTCCACTAAACTCTTAATCTGTACAAACTCAGGGGGATTCACCCACACCACAGACACAGACCACGGACAGAACATGGAGCTCCATCTCCAGGAGACACAAATCACAGATTTAAAGACGTTTTTCCAGACCCAATTCCCTCCAAACCGGTTTGGCAATCTCCCTCCTGGTAGCTGGCATTTAAACTACTCAATAATCAGAATTAATGGGAGTTTATGGAGCAATATTGCTCCAGGAAGGAATATCTGCCAGTGCATCCATGGTGTGCTGGAAAACAGGACCTTTGCTGGCTGGAGCTTGTAGGTTCAAACCAGGGAGAGCACAAGGGCCAGGATGTGATTACCTGCATGTTACCAACAAGTAAATATAATATACATTTATTACAGCATCCACTGATTATATTGAAGTTTGCCCTCAGAAAGTGACTCCCCCACAGCAATTCCCCCTGGATTTAAGAGCCCTGTGATGGAAACCCACAAATCCACTGGATGTGTTGCCACAACACCCAACCCAGCTCTTGACATGTGATTTCCCAACCAGCTGGTGCCACAATTCCAGGCAATCCCCACTGTTACAGCTTCCTGGGCTGTTGTTATTATTATTATTATTATTATTATTACTATTATTATATTAAGGATATTTGCTCACGTTGGTACAGACAGTGCAGGGCCTACAGGGATGGAGGGAAAATGTGGCCATGGAAACCCCCAAAAATCAAAGCCTCCTTTCCTAAACTTGGCCAGAACCCCAAACTTTCATTACAGCACCCAAGTATTTCCTTCACTTGCTTCCTACCACCATAACACAGATATTTTGTCTTTCAAAACACATAAATACATTAAATTAGTGAATATCCTCCCACGCTGAGCTTTCTTCACAATAGCACTTTAATTATTTCTACTAATTTCTGCCCAAAAGGCACCAAAATAACACTAAATGTGTGTCACCACTTCATTAAAATCTAAAACACCCAGTGCCACCACAAGGAGAATTATTCAGGTTGCAAAGACCAGCACTCAGGATTCCAATGTCACCTCCTTGCTCACACTAATTAATTAATCACATTTACAATTACTGGTTCAATCACAGCCCTCGTAGCATTATTTAGAGAGCAAGATTTTACTTCCCCCCAGCTTTACATATTATAAAATACAAAGATGTAATATTATAATTATATATAAAATCTAAAAATACTACATATTCTACTCTTAATCTGGGCAAAACCCTGCCAAAATCTGTCTGAAAAAAAAAATCCCAGTTTTCCAAACAGAAAAGACTTGGTTCAACCAGCATTTTGAATTCGAAACTCAAGATTAGAGAGTTTTCTGTCATAAAGTCGATGCCACTTCAAATTCCTCAGTCGTGAATGAATCTTTCCTCCCTAATTATTAATTAAATGACTTCAAATTACCACGTCAATTTAAATTTCTATTGCTCTATCGATTCTTTTCGTGTCTTATTTAACACCCTTGTGGGAAGCCTGTAATTTTATGTTTACAGATCATCTGCATCCTCAATTAGGGCTTTTCAGAGCCCATAAACGAACTATTAGTGAGACAAAGGTGATGGTGCTTTGTCTGCAGGTGCTTTAAAACAACTCCCTCTCCTTCAGAACAACTCCCCGGCCCTGCCGGAGAGAGGATTTCGAAGCCTGGATTGGGAGCTCCTTAAATTTAAACGACATTTTTAACTCCTGAAGTAAAACACAAATAGCTCCAGGAGAAATAAAAGAAGGCATTTTGCTAAAATGAAAAATTACTCTGTTGTTTTTGTGGGTTTTTTTAATTTCCAGTGCCTACTTAGCATTTATATTCACATTTTTCTATTTACAAGTTTATATTTACCTTTTCTATTTACCTTTTCCATTTACGGTTTTATATTTACCTTTTCTATTTACCTTTTCTATTTACGGTTTTATATTTACCTTTTCTATTTACAGTTTTATATTTACCTTTTCTATTTACGGTTTTATATTTACCTTTTCTATTTACATTTTATATTCACTTTTTTTTATATATTTACGTTATTTACTTTTTATATTTATTTTTTTATATTTACATTTTTTATATTCACTTTTTTTTTATATTTACGTTATTTACAGTTTATATTTATTTTTTTATATTTACATTTTATATTCACTTTTTTTTATATATTTACGTTATTTACTTTTTATATTTATTTTTTTATATTTACATTTTATATTCACCTTTTTTTTATATTTACGTTATTTACTTTTTATATTTATTTTTTTTTAATATTTACATTTTCATATTCGCTTTTTATGGAAATAAACACAGCAGCGTTCCAACACATCACTGAAATGGTCATTTGAGCCCCTCTCACCCCAAACCATCCCATGACACACAAAGACAGCTGAAGCTGCTGAGAAACCACCCAAGCAGCACAGAAAGTGATTCAGGCCCTGGGATTTTGTCTGGTTGGAAAAGCCATTAAGACAAAGGTTAAAGACACTTAAAGGGAATAAATGCATTTATCTGAGAGGTGGCACTTACCCCTCAGGGCGGGCAGCAGCGACCTCTCCTTCTTGTCATCACACTTGTTGCACTCGCTGAAGTAGAGCAGCAGGAACACGTCCACCAGCACCCACAGCAGGGACGTGGCCAGAACCACCTTGCAGTAAATGAACCTCCTCATCCTCTGCCAGGGGATGGCTCCGGAGCCAGGGCAGCACCGTGGGGGTGAGGGGATCACAGCCCCACAGCTCAAACCCGCCCTGGCAGCAGGGACGGGCATCGCCCTGCAGGGAGACAAACACGGCACGGTCACAGTCACAGTCACAGCACCAGGCACTGCTTTCTTATCAGAACACAAATCTGCACTTCCCTCCACGTATTTTACGCTGTAGATCTCTCTACTGCAGATCTCTCAATGCTATAAGCAATTTTTATCTTGTCACCTGGAGAAGAGAAGGCTCTGGGAGAGCTGAGAGCCCCTTGCAGGGCCTAAAGGGGCTCCAGGAGAGCTGGAGAGGGACTGGGGACAAGGCATGGAGGGACAGGAGAGGACAAGGAGAGATGGGATATTGGGAAGGAATTGCTGGCTGGGAGGGTGGGCAGGCCCTGGCACAGGTTGGGCAGAGAAGCTGGGGCTGCCCTGGATCCCTGGAAGTGTCCAAGGCCAGGTTGGAGCATCCTGGGCTGGTGGAAGGTGTCCCTGCCCATGGCAGAGGGTGGGACTGGGTGGGATTTAAGGTCCCTTCCCACCCAAACCAGTCTGATTCTCTGATCTCTACCCTGGATGGAATTTATATTGTTCAGATGACTGTAATTAAACCTCCCACTCACCATCACAACCTGCACTCCAGGCCAGGACTGGGAGTCCTGCCTCGGCCATGCTCCCAAAGCACCCCCTCAGCACTGAACTGCTGGAGAATTTTCCAAGCACCTATAAAAGAAAACATTAAATTCAATTTTCATGGATGACTGAGGGTGGAAAGCCCTCCCAGCCCATGGATCCCCCTGTGCCCATCCCCACCCTGTCCCCAGCCCAGAGCACTGAGTGCCAGGGACACCTCCAGGGCTGGGCACTCCAAACCTCCCTGGGCAGCTGTGCCAGTGCCTGACCACCCTTTCCAGGAAGGAATACTTTATCCATTGCAGTTTTCCATCCTGACTCCAACCCCTCAGCTCTCCAATCCAGCAGCATCACAACCGGCAGCTTTACATTTTCCATTCCATTTTAATTCCAGCTCATCTGAACCAATGGGATGGAAGAGCTGGAATGATTTGAATAAAGTTTTTTTTAAATTACTCTCAAAGCATTATTGTGCTGTGTCATCATTAATAACATTTTCCATCTGTCTTCAGGATCAACACAATCAGTGGCTCTTCCTGCTGAGGCACTCACAGCAGTTGATTTAGGATTTCAGGGCTCAGGAATTGGTGTTTCAGGGGAGCAAAATTCATCTCCACACTGGTCACCAGGAACAGTTTTGTTACAGGAAGGGAATTATAAAGGTCCTTCCCGACCCAAACCATTCCAGGATTTTGTGGTTCTGTAACAAAACCCCCTCCAGACCTCAGAAGAGATGAAGCTTCTCAAAGACCACGTTTACTGTAAGTAAAATACAGAATAGCAAGGCTTCCAGGAAGAGGAGGAAGGTAAAAAAATGCTGAGGTTTTCAGCCACCACTTCCAAGAATAAAGCTAATTTTAAAACATTATCTTGCAGCAGAGCAGCGAGGGAAACTCCTGCCCCCAAACCCTGCAGTTTGGCAGTGTTAGAAGCAATAAAAGCAGGTTTTTGTTACAGAAAACAGGATGCAAATTTAGAAATGATCTGCACTGCCAGCCTTTCCCAAAACTGCCACAATAAAGTGCTGTGGTAGGACAACATTATGGAGGCTGCAAATCCTGAATCCACTGAATAAGTGGCAGAACTGGAGATGTAAAACCTTGACTTGCTTTTCTCATTTACTGAAAAAAAAACCCCACACCTCTGCAGCTACAATTTGTTAAAACAAAGCAATTGTTCAGCATTTCTGTTGTGAGTCCCCACACGGCCCCTGTTTGTTCCCCACCAGCCAGGCCATACACGGAATGAACAATATTTAATTTTCTCAGGGGGCTCAAAGCCACAACATTCATCACCACTCCATCCAGCTGCCTCCAAAGCTCCTAACTCACTTTCACAGCACCTCTGTGAGGCAAAATAAACATTGATCCAACAGAAACCCCAATTCTTGAGCCAGAATTTTCCCACCAGCTCTGCCAGTCTCACTGTTTTAGTGAAATCTGGGGTAATTCCAGGCTCTTTCCCAGACTGATGGGGTGTCACCCCAAAGCCTTCCCCTCTCCAGGCTGAACAATTCTCCCAGCCTTTCCTCCCAGCAGAGCTGCTCCAGCCCTCAGACCACCCTTGTGTCCTCCCCTGGCCTCTCCCCAGCAGGTCAGAGTCCTTCCCTTCCCAAATGGCCACTTTCTGTAAATCAGGATCAGCACATCCTCCAACAGCCCCTTAATCTCTTGTCACTCTTAGGGCTCCACACAAATTAAGTGTCCTAATCCTCGAGCCAGACAGAAATAAACTGTTGGCAAACATTCCCCACAGAAAATCAGCAGAGCTGTCCAGTTTCTCACCCAGTTGGAGTCTGAGTCCAGCGACATCCTACAACTGTGATTGCATCTTCCAAATTAACATCAAAACTGCTTCATCTGATCTCCAAAAACCTGTGAGACTGCAACCTGTGCTGGCCATCTGTCCTCCCAGGGACACAGAACTGACTGATGGCATCTGGGTGCCTGGATAAGGAAGGATGCACACCCCAAATTATTAGCATGGGAAAATGGTTTCAAACCTAAACAGTCCAATTCTTTTATGGAATGAAACCCAAAACAGGGCTGAACATCAGTTTTCAAGCCAACATTGCTCTTAATGCCACCTTAAAAGCTTCATGAGGGACTTCCAGGAGCTGGGCCTGATAGAAACATAGCTTAATCTAACATTTGTGAGAGGCAAAGGTGGGGAGGAATCCCACACCTCCTTCCTCTGCCAGATGTGGCCACATCTGCCTGCATCCCCAGCAAGCTGCTGTGCAGCATCAGCCAGGGGTTGCCTGGCAACCAAGGGCCTGCTCCTGTGGGGACCAGACTCTCCCAAAATCCCTCCCAGGCTGCTCCCCCAGGGACCAGACTCTCCCAAAATCCCTCCCAGGCTGCTCCCCTGGGGATCAGGCTCCCCAAAATCCCTCCCAGGCTGCTCCCCTGGGACCAGGCTCCCCAAAATCCCTCCCAGGCTGTCCAGTGGCTCCCCAGTTTCCCCATCAGTCACCGGATGCAAATGGAACTGGGGAGCCCAGCCTGGCTTTCCCAGCTGCAGGGAGGTTTGGGGATTGCTCTCAGGGTGGGGAAGGGAGTTGTTTTTCCTGCTCTCCAGTGGTTCCAGGCTCCTGCAGCCTCTCCCAGAGCTGATCCTGCAGGTCCCACAGCCATTTGGGAGCAGCTGGATGTGCTGGGCAGTGCCAAGGGGATCACAGGGCACCAGGAATCCAGCAGCATTCCAAAGCCTCCCAAAGGACAAGGACAAGGAGACCCAGTCCCACTTGAAAGTTTCACTCCAACCACTGGGATGGTGGCAGTGGAAGAGGAACTGAAGAGAGCCCAAAATCCACCCCTGTGTTGGTTCTCAGGGGACAAGGGACAGGGCTGTGACCCAAACCACAGCAGGGCTCTCACTGCAGCTCAGCAGCACCTCACAGAAAGCAAAAACGTTCCTGAAAATCTGGTGTTATTGGTACTTCTGGTTTCTAAACCAGGTTTGGCCAAACATCACATTAAACATCATCCACAGCTACAGAGAGACCTTCCCGGGACCTCTGCACAGCATCAACCACAAAGAGAGCAACTCCTCCTCCTCCTCTCGTCCTTTACATCCCTCTGAAAGTATTGAGGGGAAGAAAACATGCAGGGAGGGTAGAAATCTGCCTCGGCTGAGGTTCTCGGGGCACATTTCCAGCGCTGTGCACAGTGGATGGAGTCACGCCGCTGTTCCTCCAGAGGTAATTTCCTGCCTTTTCATTATTTAACCGAGGCGTGCTGCGTTTTCCAGGGAATCTCCCATTCGTCACGCAGACCATTCTTTTAATGTATGTGACTTAACACCTCCTCCAGCGCTGAAATCCATCCCGCTTGACACGTCTGTGTGGCACAAGCGCCTCATTCACAGCCTCGAGTGCTCCTTTCACACATACTCCAAAGAATTTAGGCGGAAGGTGAAGGAATAGGAACCTCAGGACGGCCGCAGACACTGCTCTGACACGGACCACAAGAGCCCTGTGGATGAGAATTCCAGCTCGTTTATGAGCCCGTTAATCGAACAATAAATTCCAGCTGCCGGCAAATCCTGGCGCTAACGCAGCGCTGTTGGTGTTCATGATCCCCCAGCTCGGGGGAGCAGCAGAACACAGGGTTTTTAAGAAATAAATGCCACTGAGGAGCGAGAGCATCCCCAGAGCCCTCCAGCGAGGAGTGCTGGAGGCTTTCCGAGCGGAGCCCTGCAGCTCATCTGCTCCGTCACAGCCCTTCCATCAGCCCGGGACACGGAGGGGTCGAGAGCTGAGCACCCACCGCGGGATTCGCTGGAAGAAATTCCCATCAGGAAATAAAAGCGATCACAAATCTCTCTTTTTTTTTTTCCCCACTCAAGGGAGGCAGAGCAGAGCTCAGCTCGCCTGAATTCCAAGATTCCCAGCCTTCAGCTCTAATAAATCAAAGGATGAGTGTGGCTGCTCCTCGGAGTTGTCCCTGTGATTCACCGCAGCTCCCAGACAACAACATCGAAGCGTCGGTCACAGAGAGATTTGGCCAGGAAGGTTTGCAACCCTCTCTTTCTAAACGCCCCTTAATTTTTAAATACCATATTTAAAGCTGTATCTTGCCTGCAAAAATCTTCTGGCCAGCTGGGTCTGACCGAAGCTGACTACACACACCTCCAAAAACCACACAGCAGCATTTAATGCCGTGAGCAGCTTATTAATTCATGTACAGCTGTCAGAAGAACTTCTCGTGCTGGAACCGTCAGACTCCGAGATCGACACGGGAACTCTTTCAGTAAAGAAAAAAAGAGGGTGAAAATAGAAATTAGGTACCTCTAGTCAGAGCCACCCAGCGTTTTGTGCCTCAAGAATTGGTTTCTCTCCCTCTCTCCTTTCCTGAAATAGGCTGCTTGACATTTGATAACAGACCTATTCTTCACTTCAGAATGCATTTCCGTGACTCAGAAATTAAAGTGGAAAAGACTAATTAATTCATGCAAGCCGAGCGCTCCGGAATGAAAGCCCACCCTGTGCTTTGTGCTGCTTTGTTCAGGCAATGCCAAGCACCAGCTCGTGCCCGAGCCGAGCCCTCAGAGCACCACATCCCCGAAGAGAGACAGGAAGAGCTTTTGTGTTCAGAGCCACCTCCCTGCAAGTCATTTACCCTGCAAAGGATGGCAAGTTTGGGGAGAACTGATCTGGGTTTACCCCTCCTTTAAAGCCCTTGCCTTCAGGCACCGACCTCGTGCTAAAGCAGGTTGTTCTACCAACATGTCGGCTCAAAGCACCAAAAACCTCAAGTCAACTAAAAATAAAGACTAAAAATGTCCCACAAACCTTAAAAGAACGTTGTAGGCTCATGGAGTGGTTTGGGTTGGAAGGGATATTAAGGACTGTCCTGTTCCAGCCCCCCTGCCCTGGGCAGGGACACCTTCCACTGGCCCAGGTTGCTCCAAGCCCTGTCCAACCTGGCCTTGGACATTCCCAGGGATCCAGGGGCAGCCACAGCTTCTCTGCAAGGACTCAACGTTGGCAATTAACTCAATCCCCAGACAGCAGAAGACAACCCCAGGGGCTATAACGGATTAGCAGCTCCAAGTCCTCCTCCCACTCGTTTTTCCAGGTTCTTTCCCCAGGCTCAGCCCACTTGACAAGGGATACAAGCACATTGGAGAGCTTTGGCTGCCACCCTCCCAGATTTCTCCTTGCCATCCAGATTTGGCATCTGCCCCTCTCTGCAGTCTCCCATCCCCAGGTGAGGCAGGTATTTATCCCCCCCAGGCTGCTGCAGGGCCTCCTCACAGCTAATTAGCAGCCGAATTATAATTATCTGCCTTCAGATGGTGGGTGCTCTCCCACATAGCCGGGAAGTGACAAGTGGTATTGACAGCCTGACAGGTCCCACCCAGGAGGAGTTTTCCAGCTCATCAAACAGGAGGAAAATGCTGGAGCAAGGCAGGGCAGAGATCCAACGATCAGGAAACACCACAGGGCAGTGGGCACAGCCCCAAGGCTGCCAGAGCTCACCAGGGTTTGGACAACGCTCTGAGGGACAGGAGGGGATTGCTGGGGTGTCTGTGCAGGGCCAGGGCTTGGACTGGATGGTCCTGTGGGTCCCTTCCAGCTCGGGATATTCCAGGATTCAGGGACAAGTACCGGAGGAAGGACACAGCCAAGCAGCCTCCCTGTACAGGCATATTTCCCCACGGATCTGTGGCAAACGTGTGGCTGGGCAGGAGTTGTGGGACCACTGCTTATCAACATCACACCAAAACTGCAGCAGTGCCACTGACAGATCAGGGAATCCTTGAGGCTGGAAAAGACCTCTAAGATCATAAAATCCAACCATCAACCAGCACCGTGTTCACCACTGGCCCATGTCCCCAAGTGCCACAACTACATGGATTTTAAATCCATGGGGGGACGAGGACTCCACCCCTGCCCTGGGCAGCTGTGCCAGGGCTGGACAGCCCTTTCCAGGAAGGAATTTTCCCAATATCCAACCTAAAACTTCTCTGATGCAACTTGAGGCCAATTCCTTTTGTCCCACCACTTGTTCCCTGGGAGCAGGGAACTCCCCAACTCCCCGCAGCTCCCCCTCCTGTCAGGGATCTGCAGAGCCAGAAGGTCCCCCCTGAGCCTCCTTTTCTCCAGGCTGAGCCCCCCCAGCTGCTCGTCATCAGACTCTGTGCTCCATGGACAAAAATCATTATTCCCTCACTTCTCCCATCCCAACAGAACAAATCTTGGAAAAAAACCAGTCCCTGAGTACTAAAAAGGCTGTTTGTACAATCAATAAGTTATCACATCACACCCCCTCCAACTTAAAACTGGTCATCACAAGAGAAGCAGAATATGCACAGTCAAATCCTTTCGTATTTTCCACTCATCTCCAAGTTTTTGAAGAGCAGATTTGTTAGAACTGACCAGCTCCACCATGTTGGATTTAAAAACAAAACAAACCAAAAAAAACCAAAAAGCTAAACATATTCTCCTGTGCTCATAAAAGTGATGTGCAGCCACATGGAACTCAATTCTCCCCCATATTCAGGCAAAATATTCTCTTGAATTTACCTACTGGTGTACAAACCCCCCTGGAGTTGTGCCTTACATAGAAAAACACGCCAAGTTTTCCTTGTTTCTTATTTCCAGAGCAATTCTGCTTTTCTTCTTGGGCCTTACTTGTTCTGTCACCCAACAGTGGGGTTTGGTCATTCCTGCCATGCCTCGCCCCAAAACCAATGCACATTCCCACACACAAAACAGCCCTAAGCTTTTGCTTATGAGGTTGATAAGGAACGTTTTTACACTTTATTTTCCCCCAGGAAGGGCGGTTTTGGGGTACAGATGGTGGGAACAGCTCTGTCACCTCTCCCTCCTGAGGAAGCAGCGCTGTTTCTGGGATGGGTGGGAGGAGGGTGTTAAGAGCCCCAAAGCCCAGAGCCCGTGGGCTGATTTCCTCCCTCCAGTCCCTCGCTTGGGCAGGAAAAGCAGTTATTTACACTCAGATTTTCTTCAAGCTCATCCACAGTCCAACAGGAGGCCGGGAGTGTGGAATTCCACCCTGTTCCCTGAGCATCAGCGTCTGCTGCCAGCACAGACATCTCTGGGAACTTGCAAACACGGCTCACTCGGGTGTGAACACAAAGGTAGGACACACAGCAGATAATCTGTTCCTTAGAACACCATTTCCAGGAAGAAATAAACCTCCAAAAACCAACCCCAGGGCAATCCGAGTTGATGCCGTGTTGCAAACAGTTTAATTCCATCCAAACCCACTTTTTATACTAAAAAAAATAAATAAAATCCAAAAGGTTTTGTAGTAACAGGCCTGGCTAAAAAAATCACCAAGAGATAAAGCACCACTTCTGAAGTTATATCGATTTTTTTTTAAGCTGTTCTCGGCATCACCTTTTTTGGTTCTACTGATAACACAGAACACCAAGACCACAGATGTGCATGACAGCAAAATCAAAACAGACTTGAAAACCACAATCATTAAGGCCTCATCTCTCTCCTCAAAGTCCAGCAGCCACCAAGCAGTTAAAATAATCTTTGCCTCCTGCTCTCCTCTGCATCATCCCGAGCCTGCCTTAATCTCGCATTAATCTTTCCTCCTGCTATTTCCAGCACCCAAAGAACTATCCGGCCCATTATTTTGCAACAGAGAAGAAACACCAGCAGCTCTAACAGTTATTTCCTCGTTGCTATTTCGGATTGGCGAATTTTCTTCTCAAACGCTGCAAAATAAACTTTATCTGCCGTTAGCTCGGGAGGAGCGCTCACCCGATCCTCGGAAAAACGCTTGGCATCCCAACTTCAGAATTTTTTAGGAAAAACCCCAGCTTCAAGCAGCTGTGCCAAATCCCATTTACACCGGTTTGTATCCATGTAGGAGGAATATCAGCGGGCAGTGAAATCCTCCCGGTGTTCCGAGCTGGCAGCGGGTGCTTCCTGCTCTGTGTGAGCGCTGGGAAAAACGGGAACGAGCCGGGCTGAGCGGCTTCCAGGGAAACCTGCGGCTGAAACCGGCAGCCCAAAGCGCTATTCCAGGGAAACCTGCGGCTGAAACCATCAGCCCAAAGCGCTATTCCAGGGAAACCTGCGGCTGAAACCATCAGCCCAAAGCGCTATTCCAGGGAAACCCACGGCTGAAACCACCGTCAGCCCAAAACGCTATTCCAGGGAAACCTATGGCAGCCCTAAACATTATTCCAGGGAAACTCACGGCTGAAAGCCCAAAACGTTGCTCCGTCCCTACCACACACAGCCTCTGCCCGTGGTTTTCCAGGGATATTTCGATCCTTCCCGGCAGCCTCACCCAGCGGAGACGGTGTCGGTTCCTGGGGGGAGATCCCGGAGCAAATCCGTGCGCGCCAGGGCTGGGATTCAATCCCGGCTTGTCACACATCGCGCTCCGGGTCAGGCTGATCCCCGATTAACCAACCGCGCTGGGAGCGGCAGCAAAGGCAGCGGGATGAGGGCGGGGGAGCGCCAAGAGCATCGCCCCGCCAGCCCCACAGCCCCCCGGGAAGCGGCAAAGGAGCCGGGTCCCGGCTCTTACCTGCGGAGCAGCCCCGAGCTCAGCCCCCTCTGCCCGGGGCTCTGTCCCTCGGCCCGGGGCTCAGCGCGGAGCCGCCGCCCGCCTCCCCCGCATGGCCGGGAAGGTGCGGGGGGAGCGCGGCCCCCGGGGCCGCCGGGATCGGGATCAGGATCGGGATCGGCACCGCCTTGGCCGGCAATGGCTGCGGAACCCGCGGGGTGCGGCCCGGCCCGGCCCGGCGGAGAGGCCGGGAGGATGGAGGGATGGAGGGATGAGAGGATGGAGGGATGGGAGGATGGATGGAGGGATGGAAGGACGGGCAGGTACCGGGGGAGGCTCCGCGCCTCGAGAGCAGCGCCGGCCGGGAAGGGGCGGGGGCGGCGCGGGCGGGGAAGGGGCGGGGAGGGAGGCGGGGGAAGGAAGGGATGCGGGAAGGGAGGATGGAGGAGCGGAGATCGGGGGATGCGGGAAGGGAGGATGGAGGAGCGGAGATCGGGGGATGCGGGAAGGGAGGATGGAGGAGCGGAGATCGGGGGATGCGGGGAGGGAGGATGGAGGAGCGGAGATCGGGGGATGCGGGGAGGGAGGATGGAGGAGCGGAGATCGGGGGATGCGGGAGCCGAGTGCAAGGCAGAGGGGCTGAGAGGGTCGGGGGAACCGGTAATGGGAGCCGGGAGGGGTGAGGAGGAGAGCAGGGGATGCTGAGGGGATCGGGGGATGTGGGATGGGGTGATGGGGGAAGCCGGGAGGAAGGCAGGGGGGCTGAGAGCGTCGGGGGATGTGGGAAGGGGAGCTGAGCAGAGCGAGGGGAGCGGGCAGTGATGCCGGGGGCAGCGGGGGGCGGATGGAGGGAGCAGGGGGGTGCTGAGGGGAGCAGGGGAAGGCAGGGCCACTGAAGCACATCTACGGCACCACATCTCAGGTCGATGCCAAAGGTTCCTCTGCCCCTCGCCCAGCGCTGTGCCCGTCCCAGCAGGGCAGGGCTGGGTTCACAGACGCACCGTCCCCCCGCACCGCTCCGGCCGGCCCTGCACGCTGCCCTCCTGAGGGAAACATCCCTCGGGAGAAAAGGAAAGCAAAAAGGTAAATGCTGATCATCCTGAGTGCGTGAGGAGCCACATAAAGACTGCACAGACATTCCCGGAGGGAGGAGTGGATAAATCATGGAATAATAGAAGGAACCTTCAAGCCCATCCAGTCTCACCTCTGCCATGGGCAGGGACACCTTCCACCAGCCCAGGATGCTCCAGCCTGGCCTTGGACACTTCCAGGGATCCAGGGGCAACCACAGCTTCTCTGCCCAACCTGTGCCAGGGCCTGCCCACCCTCCCAGCCAGCAATTCCTTCCCAATCTCCCATCTCTCCCTGCCCTCTGGCACTGGGAAGCCATTCCCTGTGTCCTGTCCCTCCATGCCTTGTCCCCAGTCCCTCTCCAGCTCTCCTGGAGCCCCTTTAGGCCCTGCAAGGGGCTCTCAGGTGTCCCTGGATCCTTCTCTTCTCCAGGTGACCCCCCAGCTCTCCCAGCCTGTCCAGGAAGGTTGATGTTTGGATCCAGCAATCTCTGCCCTCCTCTCCCTCCCCTGCCTGTGACCAGCCTTGGCAGCACCAAAGCACAGCCAGAAACTCCTGGCTTACAGCCTTGTGTTGTCAGTTGAATAATATCTTTCTTTTTTTTGACACTGAAAAGTGAGTGCACAAACTGAAGTGCTTTGATGCAAGGATGAGAAACCTCTTGGCACTTTGTGTTTCTGTTCCTCTTACAAAAATAAGTAATATAAGCAATTTCCCCCTTATAAAACAAGTAATAAACACATTTTTTCACTCTGATCTGAAATATTTGACTACATGATTTGAAGGCCTCTTACACTTCCCAAAACCCACTCTGAGATAATTGCTCAGAGTTTTTTAATTGCTCCTTGTATATGAGATATGCAGTAAAGGGTTAAACGATTCCTGAGGTCAACTCAGAGCCAGCAAAGCAGTGCAAGAGTGGGAATCCAGCATTCCCTGTGTCCCTGAGGATGAGCCAGTCAATTCCTCTGCATTGCAGCTTTCTTATCTCCAGCCCCTCAGCGCTGTGAGAGCATTAATTGCTTCCTGGAAAGCACGTTGAGATGCACAAATGGATGTTCCCTGTGCAAGTGCAGGGTATCCTTTCCCTCTTCCCTCCTAATCCTCAGAGTAAGGTGTTTGCTCCAAGTGGGAAACCACAGCAGAAGCAAACAATGATCCACACAGTTTGGCACCATTCATTATTTCTATTACATTCTATTATGTGGAAATAATTTCTATTCATCACCACATGATAAATAGAAAAGGAACAGCAAAATTCAGTGGCTGAATTATTAATTCAGTCCTGCTGGCACCTGTTTGGAAGAGCAGCACAAAAATCCTTCAGTTTTGCTCATGGAAGGGTTTGGGAAAAGTGTCCTTGCCCGTTGCAGGGGGTGGGATGGGATGAGCTTTAAGGTCCTCCCAACCCAAAACCACTGCAGGATTCTGGGATGCAATAACCTGACCATGATACCACTCATGCATCTGGAAACAAAGAGGATGTTCAGGATTCCTGTTTGCTCTGGGAGAGAAAAAGAAAAGTTCTAGTAGGGAAAAAAAATACCCACCACCTGTGAAGGCCAGAGGAGAAGACAGAGTGAAGCCCATGAAATCCCAGATGCCATAAAAAATATAATATAAATGATTCTCCATGGTTTGGGCTGGAGGAGCCCCCAGTGAGGGCACCCAGCAGCACATCCCAGCTGTCCTGGTGGGGCTCAGGTGCTTTTGGACAACATTTCAGCTGCTGCTGAAACCCAAAGTCCCAGCAGATGGAAATGGGTGTGAAGAGACATTCCTGGAAGAATTCAGCTGGAATTCTATAGTTTTGCTCTTCCTTAGCCCATTTTCCAGAATTATTTTATATTTCTGCTCTTCCTTAGCCCATTTTCCAAACATCCACTCCAGATCATTGCCAGCCACTCAATGAAATGTGTCCATTCTTTTTTTCCCCATGACACCTTTAGCAGAGGGATAAAGCCAATGCCCAAGACAGAAATCGTGGCAGCACAGAGGAAATAACCTCTATTACAGGAATCTAGCTGGGGACATGTGAAGTATAAAACCTTTTTGCCACAGAAAATACCTTTTAAACTCTTATTTTCAAGCTCTGTGTGGTCCCACTGCCCAAGTAACACCTGGAGGTTTATTTTCCTGAATAAAGACAGCAGGTATCTGTTCCACCAACTAAAAGGAAGATTAGCCTGGGAAGTGGATGTTTGTGCTCTACAACAGCATCCAGGCACTGCTCAGGGGGAGAAAAAAAATCATCCCAGGATGGTTTGGGTTGGAAGGACTTTAAATCCCATTCAGTGCCACCCCCTGCCATGGGCAGGGACACCTTCCACCAGCCCAGGATGCTCCAAGCCCCGTCCAACCTGGCCTTGGACACTTCCAAGGATCCAGGGGCAGCCACAGCTCCTCTGGGCAGTGCTTGGGTTGTGACAAAGCTCTCCCAGGCTGGAGCTCTGCAGCACTTCAATCAAACCAGGGCTTTTTCCTGGCAAGTGTTTCAAATCTGGCACTGCATTATTTACAAGTGGTTTTAGTGTTGGGCCAGAAAACGCATTCCTGGCTCTGCTGGAACATCTACCCTGACCTCCCAGCCAATCTGTCATGCCAGAAGGTAACTCTATTTTTGCTGGAGAATAAATGTCTGGGTGTTTGTTTCCCAGAACAGATCCTGTGACTGGGGTCTGATCTGCAGAAAGGAAAACAAAGCTGGAGGGAGGAGATGATTTGTTTTCATCTGAGTTTTACATCAATAATTACCCAAAACACAGAACCCTTTCCTAGCACCTAAGAAATAAAACAGTGCTGACAGCTGTGCAGTGGGTGCTGCCTTCCAGAGTGATCCATCCATTCCTTCCCAGGGAACAGCAGCCTGTTCCACTCACTCACTGTTACTGCTCTGGCTGTGTTACCTCTTCAAATGCACAGCCACAGGTAAAGCAAATGTAACTGTTCATCAGCCCCCTGCAATGTCCTTTGGAACAGCATCCCTTAATCCCAGCCTCCAACAGGGGCTGCCCACACAACACAACCTGTTCTGTGTGAGAAGAAATGGGACAAGCTTAGGAATGTTCCTGCCCTGGGTGAGGAGGTTGAGCCCCCCTCGTGTTCCCTGTGCTCCCTTAATGCCTCCAACAGCAATCCCGGAGGATTTTTGGGGCAGGGTTTGACACTCAGAGCTCTCAGCTGCTGGAGGAGGTGTGGGAAGGGGTAAATCACCTGCACTGGCAGCAGTTCAGGTCCCTCAGACTGGAGCTGCTGCTCAGACAGGTGTCACCTGGCTGTGATTTCATGTCCCTGTGCCTTGGCTCTGCCTCCCTGCTTTATCCAGGTGAACCCCAGGCTGCTCCTGCCTCTGGGGGATCCTCTACCTCTGCTTCTGATTTCTTCATTAAAGACCAGGAGATATCTCCCTGCTGGTGGCAGTGAAATAAGGGCACTAATGCTGGGCCATGTTTTGCTTCTTAATTAAATGCACCCTCTGCTTCAAATTAGAAAGGTGAGCAAGGTTGGTAAAGCTGGAAACATGCATGGAGCTGAGTCTAAGCCTTTACACCGAGTTTGAGGCTCTTTCCACAGGGAAAAAAGAGCCCTAAATTCCAGTGAATTGTGTCTCAGCTCCAGTGAGAAGCAGGTGAGGAGCACCCTGAGCTCTGGGTTTCCTCAGTGGCCCAGCCTGTGCTGGAGAAGGTTCCTCAGGGCACCACATCCCGCTGTTTGCAGCTGAAACTGGCCCCAAACCCTCTGCCCAGCCCCAGCCAGTGATGGCAGATCCCATCCTCACTCTCAGTTTGAGGGTGAGGATGATCCAAAGGACAGGGACACCTTTGATGCAAAGCACTTGTGAGAGGAGAAAATATGTGGGGAAACCCCTTTAGCTCTGCATTCCAAACACTGTTCTCCACACATTTGCCATTACCAGAGAATCAATTTTGTCATCAACCCATTCCTTCCTGTTTGATCCAAACTCCTCTCAAAAATGAAGGATTTATAACTTCCTTTCCCTCAATGCCCATTATCATTTATATCCCTGACAGCTCCAGTTGTTAAAAGCAGTACTTGAGGTTTTTTCCAATAAAGGCCTCCCATCTTCCTGACATTTATTACGACTTTATTAGTTCTCTCCCCTTCTCAGTGAAGCCATTTCATTCAGTGGGGGAGTGTCTGAAGCCCAGATTTTTCATTACCTCTAACTTACCATAATTTTAGGCCAGGAGTGGTTTTGTTTTGGCTGGTTGTTAAAAGCAGCATAAAACCACCTG